CATCCCCCCAGCCCCCGCCCCGCATCCGCCGCCCCCCGCTGCAGCCGGGCGTCGCGGCCCCGGGGATGTTCTCCCGCAAGGGCCATGCGGATGTCAAGAAATCTACACAGAAAGCGCTGGACCCGAAGAAGGACGTGCTGACCCGCCTCAAGCACCTCCGCGCCGTGCTGGGTGAGCCCCGGGCACTGCCTGCTTCCTCCTCCGCGGGGCACGGGCCTGGCGGGACTGGGTGTTCCTGGTGGGTAGTGCCGAGTGCGCCTGGGCTGAGCCTTGCGGGAGAGGCCCCGGGCAGACAGAGCGGGGCACAGACATCTTTCTGTCAGTGGAAGGGGGAGAAGAGTTTGAAAACCTGCCTGACAACGGGCTCTTCAAATCAGTAGTTGCCACCCTTGGAATCGGCGCTGTCCCTTGACTCCAGGTGGCCTACGACGAACTTGTAGTATCAGGCCCCCTTTCGCCAGAGAGAATGATAATAATAGTAATAATAATGACCATTTTCTGGCCTCCTTTATGTCTGAGGCACCCTCTTGGCCCATGCCTGTGTCTGGCCTTGTTTGGAATGACCGGGTGTTTCCTGTGCACTAGTTCGCGCCTGGTTTTGTTATCCAGAGTGTCTGCAATCCAGTCTCTTGTGGGGGATTCATAGAGTCATAAAAAATGAGGGTTGGACGCAGCGTTCCCTCTAAGCTGTGTGGCGTGCGCGGCTGCACAGGCATGCTTATGCCATGCTGCCAGGTGCGCCTGAATGGCTGCACAGCTTGGAGGGAACGCTGGTTGGAAGGGACCCTTGGAGGTCATCCAGTGGTTCTCCACCTTTTTTGGACCAGGACTCATTTGGAAATGTCAATGGCTCATCCCAACCCAGTGCCCCTTGCTCCTGACCTGCTGCCCCCCACCCCACAGTGTGGGCTCCAAGCAGCCCCTTGCAGACTGGCAATTTCCCACCTTTTTCTCCTTTAAAGGAGAATCCATTTTTAAAGTTTGTTGATCCATTTTTAAAGTTTGCTCATGACCCTCTCATATATTCTTGCGACCTATGGGTTGAGAAACACTGATCTTGTTCAACCTCCTGTTCATATCAGGACCATCCCCAACTAGATCATCTCAGCCAAAGCTTTGTGTAGCTGGGTCTCAAAAACCTCCAAGGATAGAGACTCAACCACGTCCCTGGGTAACCTGTTCCAGTGTTTTTCCAATACTGTATCTAACCTAAACTTCCCTTGCTGCAACTTGAGACATTTAACTAGAAGAAACTTATTTTAAAAAAAACCCCAGAAATAAAGAAACTCAGTTGACTAGCGTGCCCTGAGGTTTAGGACAAAGGTTAAGGAGAGTTAGTACCGCCCTGCCTCCTGTTCAGTTGTTGATGCTTCTGTATAAGTGAAATGACCTCATACATGAGTAGATCTGGTCTGACTAAAGCTGTTAGGATTAATGTCTCTTACATGAATTTAAGAAAATATCTTGAATTCCATTAGGATAAAAGGACAGGGCCACTTTGCAAAATCAATGTTTAGGATGTATAACTGTAATGATAAACAGGCATTAAAAAGCATGCAAAAGGAAGGGTAAGGTCTTGCAGGATATTCCAGGAAATTTAACGAGATTTTATCTGGTTGAAGTGAAATGTCATTCCATTATTTAAATGATGGTAGCAGCATTTTAATGAAATATTATTCATATGCTACTTCACTGTATGAAAAGTGTATTAATTTAGTTCAGATGGAGTTTACTAGAGAATGAGCTGAAGGTTTCTGTTCCCCAGACAATTAAAGAACCAAAAAACACCTCCCAAACTCCTCCCCCTCCCTTGTTTTGGATAGGGCATGCCAAAATACTCCTCTTGTACATAATCAAGCTATACCACAAAGAAGTTCATGATAAAAAACCATTTACAGACCATTGCTTATTTCCTTCTCTGAAATAAGATTTTATCAAAATGCACACATTGCCTCATGACTTTCTGTAAATTCTAGATGTCTTCTTTGTTCCACTATGTGCATGGCTGGTAGTATTAAAGATGCAACACAAATTAACCAGATTCTCCCAAACTGTTTGTTTGAAATATAACCAACGAATGATTAAACAACAATCAACTGAGACTATCTAAGAATGCATTTTGGCATCTGGGTTCATAAAATATGCAGATGTTACAGGAGGAATAGTTCCACTTTATAGGCACCAAAATAACTTCAAAAGGTTGCTTTTAGATTAAAAATGTCATAGCAAATAAAAGCTTCTACAAATAAAAAAAAAAGTTAAAGGCTGCTAAGAAAATAACTACCATATTAATTGCCTAATTTACAAAATCCAAGTGCATAAGGCAAGAAATAAATCATGAAACATAAAATATACTATGTACTGCAAACATGTGCTTATCAATCTAATGAAATCTCATCACAGTGCAACAGCCCTAGGTCCAATATGCAGATTGCTCTTTTTAAAGAATTTTTATTATCTTGGTTCAGTACATTTTTAAGGACTATTGTTAAATGGGGAATAGTATCAGTTAGTATTTATTCATTGACACTGGTATTTTGGTAATGTATTTATAATTTACGTGTTTTAGGATGAATGTGATTTAATAGTAAGTGTGTAACATAAGTGATTAATAGTAAAAGCATTTCTGTTTGGAAAACTGCATGTTAAGAATGGCAAATATAAAAACTCTCTTAACACCCCTCCCCCCCCCCCCCTCCCCCACTTTTCTCCAATAAAAAAACCCCTTAACCCCCCCCCCCCCCCCCCCTTCCCCAATTTTACCATGTGAGTTTATTAGTGAAAGGATACCAGTTTCTTACTGTGGCTCAAACTTAAGATTTTTTTAAAATTATAAAACATGCATTTCTTTATACTTAATAAATCCTTACGTGCAATGCAGGCTTTATGACAACCTTTTTTCTTTATTTCCAGTGTTTGATTCTCTGTGTGTGATAAGAAACTGCATTGTTATCATTTAGCTGATATTTTAAATAGAATTGGTGTTTTTGTATATATGCTTTGGAATTTTATGCTTTTGTTAACATTTTTCATTTTTTATATGTGGATGAATGAAAACAATGTTTCAAAAATATATAAGTGGTGTATGTATCATATGACTCTTAAATAAGGGAGCTAAAAATAGTTTCTTCAAAGCCTTATATATTTCAAAGCACAGTTGATAGGATGCATATGTTGCTTACAAAGATTGCATGTCTTGTTAACTAAGTTATTTTCTCTTCCAGTATTAGTAGATTATAGTACCACAATTTCTTAGTGGACCCAGAACTTGAGGGCTAAGGGGTT